ATATTTATCTCTAACTGAATATTACTTAAATAAGACTTTTTATTTAATATATGTTGTAATTATTTTTTTATAATGAGGATTCATAAGAATAAACATATTAAATAATATATTAAAAATAAAAAGTGAATAATTAAATTGAGACACACTAAATAAAAAATTAAATTTACCAAATTTGAATTAAAATAAAAATTAATGAGAAAAATAAAGAACATGTTAAAAAAATTTATTAATTAAGTGATTTAATTAAATTTAAAAAGTAATTTATAAAGATTATTGAAGTACCATTGACACGTTGGTTCGAGTAAAATGAGTTTGATTTTCCTTAAATAAGATTTTGAGTTCGACTCTTGTAAATAGTCAAACATCCACTTAGAGAAGTTCCCCTAATGGGATTCGACATGACTCAATTTCGAATTAGTTGGAATCTAATGTGGTTACCAAATACTAAAAAATTAATTAAAAAAAAACTATTGAAGTAAAATATATTATCAATTAAAATAAAAAAATATCATTATTTCATTGAAAAATACTTCAGGATATGTATATTATATCATATTAATTAATTGATTTAAAAATTAATTAATTTGGGTTAGGTTTAGCCTTTTATAGTTAGAGTTAATTTAGATAACATAATTTTTAGGAAAATAAATAAAAAATAAAAAAATCTTAATTTGGAGGGAAATAAAATAATATTTTAAGTTATAGAGGAAAGTAAATATTTTGTTTTATCTTTGGAGGGAATTTATCCTGCCCAAAACGTCTCCTAGTGCCTAGTGGCTAGTCCCATCAATGAAAAAATGGGCCCAAAAAGGGCAAAACATCCTTTTTGAGCCTCGATTTTTTGGTCAACAAGGGGCTATCATCGGGCTTCTATTTTTGGACCTGCAAACCAAAGCCCGCCCAATTGTCCCTTGGTTTTTAACCTGAAACCGCCCAAAAAAACCCGCATTGGAAAATTCGGTAAAAAGCTACCAACTATCAATCGATTGCTGAGTTTTTGGTCGGTTGACTAAAAATTGCCCACTCCTACATGTGACTAGGGTTTTTTTTTTCTTCGCTTAAGGAATGACAATAGTATGGTTTTGAGGTTCAAAGTTAATAAACCTATCTTTAAT